GTATTAAACCACAGTGAATCACAGTAGTAAAGCTGAGCAGCACTGGTATCACTTAACAGCACTGCGCCCTCAGTATGCAAGCCAGTGTTCATCCTCTAATGACACAGGGTGTGTGTGTGTGTTTGTGTCAATAAAATGACTGCTTCTTAATCTCCTAACTGCCAGACAATAACAGATTTGTCTGTGATAAAATCCTGGTCTTTACATGCGTGTGTCTGTCTGTCTGCCAGGCATCTTCATATGTGTGTCTGTGTGTACTTGCTCACTGTGTTCCTATGTGGGTATTCCTGATGCATGGCTCTCCTTGTGTGTGTGTGTGTGTGTGAGTGTGTGTGTTTGTGTGAGGAGCAGATTTAGCTTTGATAAAACCCCAGTCTTTAGAGGGATTATCAGTCCATCCCCAGACAGCAACATGCTGTGCATTTATGGAGGTAATAAGTTGACCTGTAATAGACAGACAACTGGCTAAAGCTCTTATTGGAAATTGTGTCCCTATATATCTACACCTGGGCCAGGGAGGAGAAGAAAGCAATACCTTCATAAGCAGTTAGACCTGCTGCGCAACACAACATGTGAGCTCCCATCCAGTGAATTTTGATTTGGCGCTTACCTTTATGGGTTTTCCGACTGATTTGTCGTGCTATTGTCTGCCCTTCGGTTTTGACTTCACTAACATCCCAGAGGGCGAATGTGCAGCGGGCGGAAAAGTGTAAGCACACATTGCGGCGCAAAAGCAAGACATTAACATTTAAACCCAAATGTAACATAAGTAAATGGCAACCCACATGACAAAGTCCTGTCCTCATTTTCCCTTGGAGATCTAAATCGTTGCCTCGCCGCACTAAAAGCACTAACAATGTTTTTAGTTGGGTTTCAGCTATTGCGCCATTATTTAACATTATCCGCCGGCTATTTCTCAATGCGTGATTTGGATATTTCAAACTGGGACAAAATCCCTCAAAAAGGTCATACAGTGGTGGTTGCAGGCTGAATGGTTGCTATTATTGGCTGTAGCAAACCTTGTGTTGTTCATAAGCTAATTCAAATGTTATCTATCTGGGAAAAAAGCTTTTCAGCTACTATTCTTACTGGCTCTAAGAATAAGGAAGCTCTGGAGGACCATGTTTTCTATAAATTCAGCACCACTCAGAAATAAAATGACTAACCCACTCCGTCAGAGAGAATGAGAGATACTGTAAAGCTTACTATCAGTCTTGTCCTTTTACTCTTTCGTTCCCACTTCCCTCTCATCCCTTCTTTTGTTTCCTGCCCATCATTTACCCCATGTCTTCTTTTCCTTGCTTCATCTCCCTATGTTCCCTCTCTATCCCCCCCCCCCGCCTCCTCCCCTCCTTCAAACGCTCTGCCTTGTGCGCAGTCATAAAGAAATAATTTATTCCCATTCCCCCCAGTGTGGGTATGTATTAGCATGCCAGCAGAGCACGTTAACTTATCTCGCGGCTACAGGCACTGAGTGGTAAAACTAAGCTCTGATAGTTTGCAACAGGATGACCACAGAATGCCTGTAGCTCGGAGAATTAGGGCTGTCGTCATGATTAGTAATGGTGGGGCCTAATGTTTTACTGCACTGTAATTTACTGTACTGTACTGTAAAGCTCGCTGATATGATATGCACAAAGGGAGCATAAACCTAAATTCAGCTGTTGGGGGAAATTAAACAGAATTATTACCGCAGTCACTTTTGAGTCCACATCTTTATTAATTTAGTCTCTCTCTTTTTTTTTAATCTTTTTTTTTTTTTCTCAAAGCACATAACACATACAAAATCTGTTTGAGCTGCTGTTCCACTTTTCAAGATCCAGCTCCAAATTTATTTGTCCATCTGTCTTTGTATCAGAGCATCAAACATCACATTTCAGAGTGCAAATTCACTAAAGCACAATAAACGGTAATGGGTCAGCAGTGTAACAAGTACCAAACGCTGCAAAAACAGATTAGACCTTAACTGGTATTTGTTGTCATTTTGTTGCTTGATGACCTAGAAAAACTACTGCACATAAATGTATCATATGTAATGCCCACAAGCTACGTGCAATGAGTGGTAAAACTAACCCTGATAGCTTTCCTGAGGCTGACCACAGGATGTCTGAGAGAATTAGGCTTACAGTAGTGATTAGTTATTCTAGGCCTAATGTTGTATTCTAGTCTAATGCACTTTGCCAAACATCAGGCCAGCTCACGAACATGCCATGCATCACAGAAACATATCTAGAAAAGAATAATAGCAACTAGAGCACACTGACATGTGTAGCATTGGTGTTAATGTGCCACTTTGCTCCAACACTGTAATATGCTTTGTGTTGCTAATCAGACTTCACCAGGGAAATAAAAGAATAAAGTACTTTATATTAGTGTAATAGCAAATACAGATGAGATGAGAGATTATGGTGACACAGATTTAGTTGTGCATATGCTGCAGAGAAAGAGATGGTGTGAAACCATTGCCCGTTTTAATGAGCATTCCAGCTTAGAGGGATATTGAGACTTCAGAGCTGGAAGATGCCACAGATTGCTGTGCAAATGTTGTCCCATGTAACTCTGGATTAGGTTTAGTGGCTCAACTCCCACTGGGACGTCTGCACAACAAAAAAAAAAAGTATTCTCTCATAAAGCGTCCAGCGAATGGCAAATGTTATGAAAACTGCACTGTACTTGATAATAGCATTACAGATAAGCAATGTAATTAAGCTACACACAGTGGTGCATGCTGTATTGTAGCGGAAACCATGCCTGCGCAATGCCTATTAAGAGCTCAGCGCTGGGCCTGTCACAATGATTAGTTATGCTAAAGCTGATGTTTCTGTTTTACTTGCAAGTTCATTAACTGGGTACTGGATTGAATGTACACACTTGTAATCCACAGAAGCATAGGTAAATGGTAGGGCAGGGTAGTTGGGGAGTGCCAAATGTTACAAGCAGGACTCAATTTAAAGAGTGCTGCATCGACTTATACGTTAAATGAAAAGGCCACACGTGTATAAATCTTATATAAAGCTTCCACGCTTGCAGTCGGAAATCCAAGAGTTGTTCAAGCAGAACTTAAGTCAAGGATGAGGTCAAGATGAGACGCACTGCACTCTCTCCCTCCCTTTCCTGCATCCCCTGTCCCTGCTTCCTGTATATGCATGACTCATCAGCACCCATCCTCCACCACTGACCTACATCTGTCCCACCTGTGTGTCACAGTGTTGACTGACCCATATTCCCACTGATCCAGACTGCGACCTCAGCCTGTTCCGCAAGAGCAGCAGGAGGTGGCTGAACACTGTTTTTCCTCCCCGAGTCTTAAAGCTTTACAGTTAACAAGTGTGGCTTAATTGCCTTTAAGATAAAAGTATCCTTACATTCTTTTCCTTGACTTGTTTTGGGCTGAATTAAGGTAGTCTTTTAGGGTTTATTTTCTATAATTCAGCCTATGAAACCATGTGTTAATTTACTGCCCCATAAAAAGAGAGAATCTTTTACTTGGCTGAGCTTTGATCATTCATCTTCATCGGCCTGTGCGTTGTTTCCTTACAATCTCTTCAATCCAGTGTTACAAGTGTTTATGTATTTTTTGGCAAACCATTAATGTAAACCAAAAAAAAAAAAGATGTCATCTCTCCTCACTCCCCACGTCGTTTCCTTGCACATGCTTACAGTGATAAACAAGCCACTTCTGAGTGGACATGCTAGATTAACATCAGCGCACACAGCCAAGAGCAACATCTCTGTATATCTGCCTCTCTCTGCTGCAGAGCAGCAGCATGGTGAAAATGTGATGCTGCAGAACCATGTGGACTGCCATGCACAGAGGCCGGAGGGAGGAGCTTGGATGCCGACGAGTACCACCGCGCGCTCCCATTGGCTCTCAATGACATCACTGATAAGGAGTGAGACTCACACTCACATATAGGAAGCACAGGTTAAGAGGGCTCCCTGCATTTCTCGTGACTTTATTTCCTAAATCTATAACAAGCTTGGCCTATATTAACTGCTGCATAAAAACAGCCGTAATACAAATAAATCAGTTTAAAAGCCACAACACCCTGGTGAAATAAGGACTTTGAGCAAACAGGCAATTAATGCAACTGCTGTACACATCTACATCACACAACAATTCAAAGCAAATGTAACATAAGGACTGATTAAGAGCAAAAGAAGAGGCCGAACAGACTGCACCACATGTGTCAAGTCTGCTGAAACAGAAAGTTTGCATATGTCACAGTGAAGTTGCACACAACATCAGATCGGTCAAGAAAATGTATTGAATCTTGTCATTAATTAAACGACAAAGGTTTATGTAGTAGGGGTGTATACCAAGAAAAAATTGTCATAAGTTGTCCCTATGAAATTATTTAATTATTCTACTACACATGTGCAGGGAATAGGCCAGTGGTCATGTGGCGCCCGAAACTCTGAATCTTGTTCATGCTCATGAGGCACCCGAGGCACTTTATTGGCTAAGTGTGTTGCCAACTGTCTTCAAGTGTGAAAAGTCAACCCTGAGAGTTGTGTCGTCCATTTACAAACCCCCCAGGCTGTGGCAAAGTTTCTGTATCTAAACTTTTTTTTTTTAAATCCCAATTTGTCGTGCAAACTGCTTTTATTGACTTCATCTCAGGGAGCAGTGCCAAGTGACTGACATGATGGCCTGTAAATGATATAATCACGTTATGGTGTCTCCAAACTACCACAGGTTGGAGAGGAAGTTGTTTGAGAATGCTCCAGAGTGTTGACTCTTTTTAAAGATGTAGCTCAAAATGTATTTTTAGTAAATGTATCTTGATTTTTGCTTGCACTCGAATCAACTCAAGTGTGCCATAAACAGCCACATATTGAGGCAACACAGCCTCTGTTGAGATTCAAGTGATATTGGGAAATAAATGGAGGGGTGTGGGGGGTGCTGCTGGTGACTTTTGCTTCCAAGTAAGCCAGACAGGCCTGCAAACAAGGGGTTGAACAAGGGCAACATCCCAATACAAAGTAATATCACCTACCCATGCCGAGGGCCGAGGAGGATCACAAATGCAATATCCTGCTATCCCAGCGACTTTGGGGCTGTAGGGGATGTTGTCTTGTGGAGAGAGGCACACTGCACATTTTTATAATCCTCAAAGTGTCTCCATGAGTTTCAGATTTCCAAGTGTGCCTAAAATGCATCCCGCCTGGCACTACTGCTGCTGCTGAAGTTTAAATCCTTATGAGATGAGTCTTCACCTTCTCCAAAAGAAAAAAAAACTGCACAGTCTCTTAATCCTCCTCTGCGTCTTAAAAGCCGCTTGATAGGTGACTGTGTACATCTTCCATGTGATTTCCACATATTTTTTCTTTCCTTAACCTCCAACAGGAGAGACGCTTTGCTGGTTAATCTGGTGTTCAAATCCACCTAGGGACAGATCCCAGAGAAATCAAGAAAAAAAGAATGTGGTTAAAACATAATGTGAGTGCAACAATTTTGCCCATTGCTTAAAATAGTATAATAAAATAAACAATACATTATATGAGAAATGATATTTAACTAAGTAAGACTTTAGGTGTTATTTTGTGAAGCTGTGGAAAAGTTGGTATGAGCTGCATGAGTTTTAAATGAGTTGGAAAAAGTGGGAAAAACAAACATATCCAAAACTAAATGTTTCACAGAATGCTAAACTAATTTTATTTCACGTAACAAACACATCCCTGAGTGCAAACTGTCTTCTTTGTTGCCTAATAAAACGTTTAAGGGTAGGGCTACTATACAATGGAATGCAGCAAATTCAAACAAGTTGTTTGGCCACACCTTCACAAGATGAACAAACTTTTTAAAAATCATGTAAAGTACATTTATAATGTTTTAGACACATGATAAAAATCAATGTGAAACTCTGAAATAAACCTCAAGTTTGTAATTGTTTATCTTGCAGTGCTCCGGCGGGATTGTATATATTTAAAAGAAAAAAAGGGAATAAAAGATTTTTCTACACTTTGGTGATTAAGCAACAAAAATCAAAATATTTCTTATCCCGTGAAAATCATTTTAAGCGTTCAAAAAAGTTGTTTCCTTGTGGATTTGCGCTCCTTTCTGTTGGTTTTCTTTGTATGGACTGAGAACAAAGGAGCCTTTACTGTAACAAAGAAGCTGCAACGACTTATACCTGTTGCTCTGTTTCCAATAAACTATAACAAGTATCTCAGTGATTTTCGAAACGCACCGACTTTGTATCTATCTTTTCGCCTCCAAGCATTATTCCCCATTCGTGCAACAAGTTTAATTCCGTGCCACTGTTTTGTTTCTTAGAGACTTTACACCTGATTGCATTGTTCTGAATTCCCACAGTGCACTGGCAACTTCGCAAAAACCATTGTCAGAAAACTACAGCACAGTGGGGGAAACTATTTACAACTATTTAGGAAGTAATACTTGTCACTTTGTCATTTTTCCAGCGTGCGTAAAATGTCCTTCTCTCCGCAAACTTCTGACAGGCAGTTGCTTTGTCTTGTGCGTCGCAACATCCCCAAGAGACAAAAACACGGACAGCAGCACAAACTCCATCTCACCTCCACTAAGGCTCGCTGACAATTCATTCTAAGTATCATATGTTGAGCATTATTGCGCGTTATGAAGATGCGTGCCTGAGCATCCCCTCAAGTTCTCTCCTCAAAGCGCCCATCAGACAAAGGAAAAGGGGACCGCTCCTCTCGCTCCCTCTCTCCTCGCTGCCTCTCAGTCTCTATGTCTCTCTCCCTCTCTCTCCTGCTTTGTGCTCAAGTTTGAGCGCTGACGCACCAACTACCAGCAGCAACTTTTAACTGGAAATAAATTCGAAAATCACTCCCGGGGTGCAAGCAAAGGCAGAAGACAACTCACCTGGGGGCGGTTTGCTCTGCGCGCGTCGCCGTGCGTCGTGGAAAAAGTTTGAGAGGGCACATCTAGCTTTGTGTTGTGGAGTCCCCCTTTGTCTACACGTGTGATAGATGGATGGGGCTCCTTTTGGCCGCGCCTAGTTCATTTCGCTCTCCAAAGAGTCCCGCCCTCTCAAAGTCAAACAACTATGCACACACAACAGTATAGACGGACTGTGGATACGTCTGATTCAGAGGGAGCGCGGTGCTTAATTGTTTGCCTTCAGATTCGATTTATTTATTTATTTATTTAAGCTCACCAACTTCACTTGATCAGTTTACTTTCCCCACATCAACCAAGCACCCAATCTATCTGTCTCCCCATCATAAAGCATTGATTTACTTTATTGGATTCATTTTTATTTATAACACTGTGTTTACTCGCTCACGCCTCTTTGTTTGCCACATCCTGCAGGTCCCCCTCCTTTGATAACTCTCCCTCTGTCTCTCTTCTCTTTTTCCACTGGCCACTAAAAGTAACACTCAAACCTGCCACACTCTGTGCTGCATCATTTCTTTATTTATTCTGTCTTTCCTTGTCCTTTTCTTTGTCATGTGTGTCATGTGTACATATAGAAATGGAAGACAAAAACTTTCCTGGATGCACCGCCTGGAGACTACCATTGTGTCTGGCCAGCAGCAGCAGGGGAACAAAGGAAGAGACAAAAGGAAAAAAGAAAGGTCTCTTTGTTTTGTGATGCACAGAGTGGCACGCAAATATGAATGATGACAAGGCTGCAACAATGTCAAAGCTTTTAAACTGAAAAGCTAATTTGGAGTCAAAGCAGCCTTGTGGGGTTTAAAAAATGGCTTCAACTTGTACTTCTTTTATGATTTTAAATGTTAGGGGAATATTCTGTCAGTTAATAACATTATCAAATTACTTAACTGTACTCTCTTCATTTAATTATGCATAACTGCATCAAATGTTTAAAAAGATGCATGAAAATTTGGTTGTTTTATAACCTGGAGTTGTGTTATTTGCTTCTAATTTTAACCAGTCCAGTCTATTATTATTACACCTGCTGCTAATTGCAAACATATACTGAGCTACATTTTAAGATAAGGGCCATAAATAAGGCTCTTGAGTCAAAATCTGAGACAGAATTTCTGTAGTTCTGCACACATGTGGTTAAACTACTTTTATATGCATCAGTGTTTTCTAGATAAAGCACCGTGGATCATTCCCAGCTGTATAGTAACTCAAGAAGGGAAAGTAAAACAAGATGCGAGTGGTGTTGGAGTCAGTGGCGGCAGTGGAGGTGGTGTTCTGTCTGTTAGAGTGTGTGTGTGGGGGAGTGGGAGTAGACAACAGAGACAAGCAGAGACAGAGAGGAAGTCATACCTGTGTCTCCCCTTTCCCAGTCGCATGTCTTCCTTTTTTGTCCCGATTGTAATATTTTCATGCCCCACAGAATGAAATCAACCACACAGACAGCACACACACATATGTAAATAGGCGCAATGGCAGTCATTAAACACACGTCACCAGGAAGGTGAATAAAAAATGTAGTCTGTGTGGTCCTGCCTGTTACACAGCACTTCCTTCAACAGACGGACAGGTAGTTCTCCCATCTCTTGGCAGACACACAGGAAGTGCCACTCTCACCCACGACTACCTGGGTCCTGAAAACAAACCAGAAAAACAAACAGGAACTTGTCTGCGAGTTCCAGTTTGCGTGATGATTCTGTTTGCGTGGTTGCAAGCCTACGGGAACGTCTCAGATACAGAGCCAGACGAGGAAAGCTAAAAAGATAACAGACACCACCACTGTGTCCTCCATTCATATGCCAGACAGATAGAAATAAATAATGAACAAGCAGTGCTACGGTGTGAATTGAAAACAACAGAAACACATGGTGTTGGTACAGAAAATAAAACAGAGAAGTAAGTTTTTAAAAAATACAGAGAGAGGGGAGAGATAGTCACACCTCACCACCACCACCACCACTACTACACCATCCATCCCCTCTGGGCTGAGCTTGCACATACAGACAGGCAGACATAGAGATACAGTCATGCCTCTCTCACCCCCCCCTCCCCTCCAGCGGAGCTCTTATCCTCCCTGCTGTGGTTTTACTGGGCCACTGACTCCAGCAGTCAGCCCGTTCTGCTCTGCCCTGGCTGCTGCATGCATATCTCCCACTGCGGAGTCAGCTGAGCCAGGCATGAGACTGCACACTGAACAGGCTACATACAGCTTAGAGGAGCTTAACACACACACATATACACGCACACACGAGTGCTGGAGCTGTTAGGAAATTTGCAAGATTATACCACACACTGAAGATATTATCTCCTCACATGATACATATTTATCATCAGTGTTAAGAAATAAAGTAATGTACAGTGGGTATTACAAAATGCATATGACTGCCAGCTGAAAGGAAGACGGTGTTTACATTCAGTGTAAAGTCAGCCGTTACACACAGCCAATTAAGCTCTGACAAAATGCATGTATCTGCATATTGCTGCGACGCTGCAAGGGCTTTGCCGTACAGTAGCAGCTTCATAAAATCACTTATGCACTGGTGCACACTCACTGTATTTCCTCTACAAGTGCAGGCTGCTTTCTGCACATAGCTACAGACAGTTACGTGTGCTGTTTGTTATGTGGGTTGCACTTACTCATCTTTACCTCCTTTCCTGTCATCCTATGGCTGTGAAACAGATCTCACGACACCAACGCTGATTCCTGTGCATAACACTGTATACTGCGAGTAAAGTGAGCCTGATTTTGACGTTGATTTTTATATGAAATACATACTGCTTACCTACTTATTACACACAGGCAATTAAACTAATTTAACAAGAGTGCATATTTAAATGCACACATATGCTACAATGTGCAACTGAAATGGCTTGCTACATACATTACATAGCAATTATTATATTTTTTTTATTATAAAAGGACATGCATAAAGTCTGCCATCTTAATGTAATTTTGCATCCAATTACAACATTAAAAAATGCATAGCTCTGTGAACTGGAATAACCACTGGTGTTTATACCATAATGGCTCCACGTGGTTAACTACAGTAACAGCTATGGCACCTGTAATTTCACACAACTAATTAAGCTATTATGCAATAGAATAGAGTAGTGGTGAAGTATTGCTGCAAGGAAGCTGCACACAACAAATACATACTTAAGGTTCTGCATCCTGATGATTGTTTGAGTGTGCTGATTTATATGACTGAGTGTGACGGAGGATGATGAACATTTTTCTTTTAAAGATGTATTTGTTGTTAGGCTCAGAGTGTCTGGTCTTAATGCAAGGATGCCAGTGTCATGTGGCTTAATTTTATGCATAGAATTTTTAATCACACACACACATGCACACATACACACGCAGACACGCACATACCGTAGACAGACAGACATGCTTGTCAGCCATGCTGGAGGGCCCTTGGCTGACTGCTGCTAAACCAGCCCTTCCCCCACAATAAGGGTCTGTCTGGGAGAGGGGGAAGGGAAATCATGACTGTCTGAACACCAGACAGCCAGCATACAGCACAACAGGCTAGAATAAAACAGAGCATCAGTTTGGCTGGGTTGAAGCCCGAGAAGATTTACCTTTTGAAATTGTCTCCTATGAACAACCGTTATTACAGCTGTCCCTTATCGCTCAGCCAATCAAAGTGACCCCAGTGTGTGTGCAGCATTTATTAACGTTGCAAATGAGCGACATTTTATTCTTCAGCAGGAATACATTTTGGGCAATTAGCCAAACTTAAGTAGGGAACATAATTGGCTTCTCCAGAAGCACATTAGCATTGAAACATTGCTGTTAGTAATGTGACGGTGGTTAAAGTGCTCACTGTCATCACGTCATAGTCTCTTTAATATGGTGCCTAGGTGAACTGATACAGTACCTGTGCGATGTACAGATGTGTTAATGGTAGCCCCTTGCTGTGAGGCTCCATCTGGTCAACACGGGTTTGCCTGTCATGTTGGATTCTTGGCTTTAGACGAGTCTATGAGTGTTGACTATGGACTAAAGGATGCAGGCAGTAATGTAGCATCTTTTAACAGTGGTTGTTTTGCACCATATCAAACATCTATCTGTCCATGCATCCATTGCTATTTACTATGATGTTGTATGCTTGTAAAGATCCATTTCCATTTCTGAAGATCCTCAAATCACGAGTTACAGATTGGGAGTTGTTGGGATTCCAATTTGCATATGGACGCAACCATTTCTAAACCATGTTATGTCATACAGCCGTGTAATCATCAGTATGGGACCCCCAGGTCTCAGATCAACACTCTCCTACTGAGATACATTTTAAATGCATGATGTAGACTTAAGCCTTATGGGGAGGCTTAACATGAAAACCTATCAAATATGTGTCACGATAGGGTTAAAATAATCTTATTGATTTGCTCTGTCTGAGTCTATATAAATGCATCTACTTCTTGGATTCAGACTGCCATTGTAAGCTTCCCAAAGGCTTTACAGAATCAAGACCATGCATTCTAAGTCTATAGAGGGGGGGAAGCCTGCTATAAAACTCTCAAAGTCAGCCCTGCCTATTGTACTGTAACTGGGAATAAAAGTGTGCTTCTTTTTTCATAGCTCAGTGATGAGCTTTCCATAAGCTTGGGAGACCATCTGTGGGCCATTTACACTGAGTGTGGAAGACGTGTACAAAAGAAGTCTTAGGAAGGATGTGCAAGACATGGACACTGTTTCACTGAATGTGAAACTTTGAGAGACACACAGACTCAGACTGTCTTTCTTTTTAGATGCGGATGTTTGCAAAACACTTATTAGCAGCTAAACAAATGGACTATAGAAAATATGGCCTTTTCATTTCACAGCGCAGTGCCCACAATCATTTTTGCTTGTAGTTGGTTATTGGTCAGGATGCAGTAAATTGCAACACAATTGGAGTGGATTTCCCCAAAGCACTTAGTAATTTCCCAGCCTTTGCTTGTTGATTATTCCAAGATAACCACTTTTGGTTGCAAATTCAGTGTGCAACCGTGTCGTTTTTGTACTGAGCTTACATATGTGTTGCCATAACAAATGTATCAGCTACTTAAATGAAGAAAAATAACTTTGATGGTGTGCTCTTAATTGGAGTTCTTAGTGTTTTTACACTGCATTGCTAAAGGATCATGCTAATCAATGCACAATGTTGTTAATGTTGCTATGAATCTAATATGCATACAAACGTGTCACTTTTTGCCTACGATGGGAGTCAAAAAGAATCAATAAAGGAGTTGTAGAGTTTCAGTTCCAGCTGATATTTATTTCCTTCCTTGAAAAAGTTCTGTACACAAGTTTATATCAACAATCTGACAGGCAGTGAATGGACACAATTTAGCTGGCATGAGTTTCCCCACCCCCCTTTCTCTGAGTCTCAAAAAAAGGGTGGTTCCTTTGTTTATGGCATGATTAGAGACAATAAATGATAATTCTACACAGCATATTGCACAGGATGGATGAAAAATAAAGTCAATATATTTAAAAATGCTTTCATATATATATAAAAAAAGAGTCCTGAACTGACCACCTTAAATGTAAGTAAGGATGTGTAAAAGATAGCAGTTCTAGACAGTGCCTGTCCTCGATAGCAACAACGTACATAAACACACAATCTTTTTGCTTTATGATACAGTCAAATATACAAAGATCGAGTTCACGTTTCATCGTTTTTCCTCATTTTTTCATTTTTTTCTGAAAAACACAACAGCTAATAACCTGAATCTGAAATACAAATGCTATTCACCATGCCATAAAGATACTAAAACAATTATTAGCTAATAGTTAGCTGACAAGTAGAAAAGATTATATATTCAAATACAATGAGAAACGCAGTACAAGTAGGTGTTTTGCGGAACTCAAGTCAGAAATTTGAATATGCTTGATGTTGTCATCCTTTGCTGTTTGCTTTGCTGTATTGATAAGCCTGTTCAATCCAGTGGTTGATTGGCAAAAATTTATGACATCAATTAATGAAAACATCAAGAAATACGTCAAATTTAAAGCTACAATCTCCTCATTTGTTGTCATAGGCAAAGATATCTGACGGAAAAATGCAAGAAACAAAAACAAGTGGCTGCTTAAGATAGTGATGCTGTAAAACCCACATGGTCCACAGGAATAGCCTCTAGAAATAATGCATTCCTGTGTCTTTAAGGAGCCTGCAGACTGGCACTGTAAACGTAGAAGGTAGGCAGATACAAAGGCTGGTGCTGCTTTCAAGTGCTGTCGGAAAAATCGTAATTACATCCTTATAACTGGGTGGTTAAGTGCCTAATGTCTGTACTAACAGTACGGGGGAGGGTTCAAGAAAGTCTTGTCAGTGGGTGCTGGTAAAAGTCAGAGAGTTTGTCTTACTTTTTTTTAAATTTAAAACCCCAATTACACACTTGAGTCTTCTTATCTCCTCTGCACTGGTCACACAAGTTAAAAGTACATTGGTACCTTTAATGTCTACATGAAAACAATAGGCACCACAGTGATATAAGGTCTGTTTGCTGGCTGTCCTTATAAAAGTGTTTTAAACAGGCGATACAAAATCCCAAGTACGAGCTTACCATGAGCACTTGAAGGCAGCATGAAAACCAGCCTACCGGGGTATTAAAAATTAGGAAATCCAATACCGCTGTATTAGTAGGCTACACACACCGATTGTTGACTCCCCCATTTTTCTATATAGATTTGTACAAAAATACACTGAGAAAATAATCAAACTGTTTCCTCTCTTTTAAGTGTCCAAAAAGTGTGTACATTTAAATATAAAATGAAATCAAAAAAGTCGTGTGTTTTTAAAACTCTAGCCCTTCGCCTGAGAAGGAAATGTGACAGACACAGACATACTGACAAACAACCGTGTAAGAAAACAAAACAAAACAAAACAAGGACTAGATCATGTATACAAGAAATTAAAAAAAAAAAAAAAAAACACAAAAAAACAAATGATCAAGTCAAAAATGCTTGGCCCAGTATATAAATACAACATCCCATATAAAATGGCATCTGGATACATGTACAAAACAAAGCTCAGAGGATGAAAAAGAATCGGTGAGGATTTCTCTATAGCTATCATCTGAAAATCAAAACAGAAATTTTGGTCCTGAATCGTAGAGAACACGTTGTATATAAAGTTCAGCACAGATTTGAAGTTGCGTTTGAGTCCTGAAGTTTGAAAAATTACAACAGCTGGTGATTATTTCAATGTCCTTTTTTTTTTTTTTTTAAAGAGAAGAACCGAAAGCGAGCGCCACCTATCCATTTAAATAACCCTAATACTAGTTTTTAAAACTGCTCGACAGTCTCACAGGAAAAAAACCTCAGCACAAGATAGGAACAAAGTAGGCTATCATGCTTAACATGTTTTTTGTTTTTTGAGAAAATATTCGACTTTTAAAAAACATCAACCCACCTCGGTGTCATTAAAAATCCCTATCGGTGACACACCACAATAAAAATGTCGCACGACAGTCCTATTTCTGTACCTTTTTAGTGGTGAAGTTCACTTGGCGATTGGTAAAAAGTTGTGAAATGTCCCTTTTTTTTAAAAATCAGCAACAACATTGATTAAGTGAACGGCGGACCGCGTAACGTGCAAATCAATCACAGTTTTACGTTGTTCAAAAAACAGTTCAGCACTGAGAGGAAACCCAGTCAGTCTCTTCTTCTTCTCTCCTTCTCCTGTTTGCACTCCACTGCTGTGGTTCAACCGAGTCCCCCAGTCCGACGCATCCAGAGAAAAGTACAAAAAGCAAGTTAGTCGCTTTAAAGTTAAGCTTTCCAAGGATCTGCAGCTCTTGTGAACGACAAGGGACGGGGGCTAGTTTCAGTCTGGTGTGGTTATAACACAAACTATTACGCCCACTGCACCAGGAACTTTCTGTTTGTGGTCATATTTGAGCTCGCAGGACATTACCTGTGTATGTTTTGCCTTTTACGCACTCAGTATGTGAACACCAGGTTGGAGATGGTGGACTCCAGCCAGTCCCCGGAGATCATCTCGCTGACTTCGGGCGTGCAGTAGTCGGGGAACTCGAAGTGGGAGCCCCCGGAGCCGGACTCAAAGTTCAAATCCAAGTCCCTGTCCAGCACCGAGGAGCCAAAGCTCCCCAGCGACATGCTATCAAAGCTGGGGCTCGGGTTAATGTCGAGCAAGTCGTCCTCGAACTCTTCATCCTCCGAGGAAGACGAGGAGGACGAGTGGGACGAGGCGGAGGAGTGAGAGCCGGAGGGAGTCGGCGAGGAAGCCCGTCGACTGCTGTATGTGTGCCCGCCGTGGCGCTCCGAAGACCCGCCCAGGCTGCCGCTGCTGCCGGGGGAGTCGGCTCCCTCCTCCCTGCCGCTGGCCGCGTCCTCGTACAAGCTGAGCGGGTCGCTGGAGTCCGCCGAGCTGCTGAGCGTCGGGCTGGCCGGGACCACAACGGAGGACGCGGGGCTGACGCTCAAGTTGGCCCCGCTGCTGCCGAAGACGTATACCCGCTTGGGCTTCTTGCCTTCTGGTATCTGCTTGGCTGCAGAGGAGACAGATTTCGACTTGTAGAGAGAGTTGTGATGGTGCTCTGATGGGTGCTCAGAGGCAAACGGTGATGCTTTGGTGCTACTGCTGCTGCTCCCGAAAAGTGATTTGTGGGGTTTGCTGCTGCTGAGTGATTTGGATCCATTCTTCCTCGAAGATGAGGATGTCTTACTGCTGGTGTTGTTAGAGCTACCGTTGAGTTTCTCCCCCTTGTCTCCGTTACTGCCAGGCTTGGAAGCGCTTGATTTTACCTTCTTCCTCGGCCGGTACTTGTAGTCGGGATAGTCCGCCATGTGCTTGAGCCTGAGCCGCTCCGCCTCCCTGATGAAGGGGATCTTGTCGCTGTCTCTGAGCAGCTTCCACCGCTTGCCCAGCCTCTTGGAGATCTCCGCGTTGTGCATGTCCGGGGACTGCTCCATGATCTTCCTCCTCTCTATCTGCGACCACACCATAAATGCGTTCATGGGTCTCTTGATGTGGCCGCTGGGAGTTTTACACCACGCCGGGTTCTCTCCCAGCTTGTCCCCGGCGGTGGAGGAAGCAGTGGAGCCCGGGGAGAGAGGCGAAGCGGCCGGGTCCAGGTCCATGCACGCCCCGGAGTCGGAGCTCGAATCTCCGGCGAAAAAGGACAGCGCCTCGGCGGTGCTCTCTGTGTGGCTCATTTTCTGCACCATGCTGCCCAGTTATACACACACAGAGGGAGAGCGATGTGCTGGCTCTGTCTCTCTCCCTCTCTCCTTGGTCCTCCGATTCACTTTAAAGCAAACTCAGCTCTTTTCTCCCCCTCTTCACAGTTTGAGCTGAGTAGAAAAAAGAAACGCAAGAAATAATTCACTCCTGAGATGTGCAGTAAACTCGGTAACAGTTCAGTCCAGTGGAGCCTTAAAAAGGCTAAACGTGTAGAAAAAAAAGTTTAATTTCCAGGTTCTGTAGGTGTTAGAACAGCACGGACAGTATAGCCCACTCTCCACTGAGTACCCTGATGTATCTGTCTCTCTCAGTCTCTTCCCGTCTGTGTTATAAAATCAGTTCAGCCGTGTGGTGACTGAACATAGTCTATGCAGCTGCAGAGCGCAGACTGAGTGCCACACTGTGCACTCCGGCGCTTACAAAGGGCTCCCAAGTACAGTGTGTAAAGGTAAGTGCTTTTCTCTGCATCAGCTCTGTCCCCCTCTCCTAGAAACAAAAGCCATGCATGCTGGGGAGGAAAAAAAGGAACCTAGAGTTACACTGTCCGCCTTCCATCTGCAGACCCGCAGTCGAGTTTCAAGCAGCCCTCCAGTCTCGGCCCCCCTTGCTTGTATTTATCCCTTCCCGGAGATACAACGGCGATAAAAATCCACCAATCAGACGCTGTCACTACCCTGCCTCTGCGCCAAACTCACGCCCCTCTCTGCGCTGATTGGCCCAAAATGGAATCTAATAATAATCAGCGCGTGCAATGAGGAGCCTCGTGTCTGACCTCATTCCAGAATACAACAAGAAACTTCAATTTTTTTAAAGAGACACTGGCTTATGTTATGGAACCCCCTTTTCTACTCTCCTACCACCAGCCCATGTGTGTACCATTAACATATAGCTATATGGGAAGTTAAGTATACTTTACCATATGGAAACTTTAAGACTGAGCACAGTTTGTACCACAGTGTTGCCTGGGTAATACTAAATAGAAGACACATACCCTGTAATATTAATCCCATTTTCTAGCCACTGCTACACACTGTTGATGTTATGAATGGTGCGCACCTATAATACAGAATAGAGAGCATGTGGAGCCAGAGCACTTGCCAGCGCAATGCAGGGGATGTGTTTTAGCATTACCTAATGTTTACAGTATGTCACAGATGTCGTGGAGGCTGAAACCTGAAATGACCACCTTTATGGCTGACACAATTATGGCAATCTAATGTGCTGTTTATCTTAAAAATGGATCACGTATAAGAGAGAGGTGACTTTTACTGATTGATATCATTGATAATTGTTTTATTAATCGGTGGTTGTGTGCCTACAGGTGGCTGCTGACCCCGGTCTTGCATCATCAACACGTTGTTAAACAAGACCATGTTCAACAGTTGAGCCCCTCTTAGTGAGCGCTTCACAAACAGGGACATGTTACTTGGATACATCATGATCGTTAGGCTGGTGTGAGAAAAGACTCCGAGCCAGAGCTATATGCTCTGCCCCCCCAACCCCTCTCCCTCTCCCTCTCCCTCTGTCTCTTCAACTCTCTTTCTCTCTCTCTCTCTCTCGCTCTCTCTGTGAGGCGCGGTTGGGCGGTCTTTGTCACATAACACACATCGTACCAACCCTCTTCTCCAGCACACCAGACAGAGAAAAAGAGAGGGAGGCGAAGGAGCAGGCGGCGGTGTGTGCAAACTGCCTGTGCGAGGACACACATCCGCACACCTTTAAACTGACATCGAGTGCAGTTTTCCGTGGAGTGACACAAACAAGAGCTGGTGACAGAAAAAATATGCACGGCGCTGCGCTTTTACGCACGCGTTATCCATTTTACGCACGGAGGAAATTATAACTAATTTACTACAAAACAAGGTAGAAGTTGTGTATAAAACAAATGATGACCATGATTAACAACACAGTAAATCATGAAATGTTGTTTGTTTATTCTCCATATTTTTTCTCTTTTTTATTTTTTTATCACAGGCACATATAAAATCACAACATGGGCACCCTGGAATGTCAAGTGCACACTATCCGAGTTATAATAATAATTATCATTCAATACAAATTCTATTTTTTCTATTGTTTTGCTCTAAGTAATAATAACACACATTTACAGCAGACACCAGTCTTTACCAATCTTTGTTTCCCCGGGGCGCAAGTAGTTTCCCCAGCAAAATAATGAGTAGTTTATTCAAACGAGTCAGAAAAAAAGATGAGAGGAGGACTGAGGAGGGATACAAGTAGACTACACAGTAGGTAGAAGCTACAAAGTGGTGTTGGATGGTCGCTAGATGGCGTCGCAGAGCCAGATAGGGCTCAGCTGGGCTGTGTTGCACAGAATTTAGGGAGGGTAACAGAGATCAGACCGAGCATCCAGAACAGTTACCAGGGGTGAATTACATAATGTCTCTGTGCGATAGAGAAGCATCCAAGCGATGCTGTTGTGCAGTGTGTGTGTGTGTGTGTGTGTGTGTTGGACTAACGTATGAATGCCATGAGTGTGGTAAGGTAGAACAAGCAGGGAGATAACAGGAAATTAAAGCACATTGGAGTTGGTTACAAAAAAATCATCTCAGTTCAAAATCAGTCCTCTCTGTAATTATTTCACCTTCCAAGGGATCACGTTTCTGCACATGAAAATGCCATTAAAATATGAAATGAATTGGGAATGAAAGCTGTTGTGCAGTGTGTGTGTGTGTGTGTGTGTGTGTGTGTGTGTGTGTGTGTAATAAAGAGGAGGAGAGTGACAGTGAATGAGAGAGTTGGTCAGATGCTCTGTGTCTAAATGAAAGGCGAGTCAGAGGTGACTTGGATCACCACTGGGAAATTAGTATGAAAGTATAGTCACCAACGTTACTGGATGCATTTCACTGGGTACAATTATATTCAATATGGCCTCATATCTGCAGTGCATCCAAGTAAAGCAATGGGTAATTGGGCTCCAATTTGTGTGTTCATGGAGCAGAACTGCAATGGAAATAAGAATGTTAACTCATAAACTCACACTGCTCCTCAATGCCATTTTAATAAGCAACTGCAGGAAAACGTTACAGCATATAGGTCTATGCTATAGAAGCAGCTGTGCTCAATGGATCTCAGCCTTCCATCAAGAGTGCTTTAAATCATACACTCCGGTTTAAAAATATACCGAACACATTTAAAGCAAAAACACTCAAATGGGAAACACTTCAGTGTGAAAACACTGTGAATCTGTGATTAAAGTCGCTCTGAGTATCTAATACAGTATATCATCTTCACATTTTTTGTATTCTGTCCTCCAGTGGTGCCTCCAAAATTTTTTCATACGGGTGGCCAGAAGGGGCCACTGAAAATCTTGGGCCAACACACCAAAACCAAAAGCCATAACTGAATTGCAGGAATTCAATTATGCTGTTTAAGTATATAGACTAGTTGAAAACTATGCCAGTATCGGTGCAGTTAACATGTTGAGTTCCACAACAATCATTTTAATGTGTTTTGTATTTCAACATATGTTAGGTGATTCATTGTTCTTCCGAAAGGCTGGTTGTCCTTTCCTTAAAAAGACAAATTCACACCTTTAATTTGATTTGAGTATATTGATTGTAAGGAACAAAACATTTACCGCGGACGGGACTTTTCAGGTTTAGGGGAGACATGTGGGTACCCATATAACTAATTTTTATTTACATATCTTGAGGTGAGCGTCTGAGGGACCCCTTTAAAAATGGACCCTTTTACATTGCCTGATCAAGGCAGGAATATCGCGCCACTATGCTGCCTTCACGTTGAAAGGGGTCAGCTGAGTTGGTTCGGGAATCTGATCAGGATGCTTCCTGAGCGCCTCCTGCTTGAGGTGTTTCGGGCATGTCCTGCTGGTAGGAGGCCCCAGGGCAGACCCAGAACACACTGGAGGGATTACATATCTCATCTGGCCTGGGAACGCCTTGGGGTCCCCCAGGAGGAGCTGGAAAGCGTTGCTGGGGAGAGGGATGTCTGGGGTGCTTTGCTTGGCCTGCTGCCCTCGAGCCCTGACCCTGGATAAGCAAATGAAAATGGATGGATCCATGGATGGATATGCCACCTCATGGTGCTGTATATAGGTTTGGATCGCACAATGGGGGGTATGATGAGTCTCACCTTTAAGCCGCCATAGGAGGTAGTAACAGCATTGAAATTGTGTTTTTATGAAGAGGACAGCCATCAGGATGGGACTGTGGGAAAGATGGGTGTGACGTTTTTACAACATGCTTTGTGTGCAACCCACCATGGAAGTATTTAAAAGCAGCTAATAGCAGTTAGCGGCTAACTCAAAGAGGAAGAACAGTGGCCACAAATGTCAGCAAATTGGGAAAACAACCACATGCAGGTTCTCCTTATGATGTCAACATGGCTGGTACCAAAGGTTGTCCTAGGTTGTCTAGTTTCACAAGACACCATTACCTCCATACTACCTTAGAAAAATGAGCATACTACAGCCTCTTAAATACAATATGTTAGCTTCCAATTATTTCTGACAGAGGTGGCCAATGGGGGCCCCCCTGGCGCCCCCCTGGAGACACCACTGCTCTCCTCCAACAAACTCTTAGGAACTCAGTGCACCTGGAGTTACAGCTGGCGAGCTTTTTAACCTAACACCTTATTCAGTATCTTGAGCAGGTGTCCTCTATTCTCTTCCATTCTACTCTATTCTACAGCCCAAAGATAAATAAGACCTTTCACCTAGTTCTGGCTTCACAGTTAACTTGAATACACGTCTTTTTCTTGGCTGCCCGTACTTCTCTGTCTCTCTTTCTTTCTCTCCATCTCTCCCTCCCTCTTTCTCTTAGTGCACACATTAGTATGCCACACACATACACACACACACACACACACACACACACACGACCTGAAAGGATAAGTAGTGCATTCAAACTTTCCTCTCGCTTTCTCCGTCTCTCTCTTTTACTGCCATTGTTCCAGTGAGGTGCAGCTGCCACGCGAGTTGGAGTGGGTCGCGTGCCAACCCTAATCTCAACAGGTGTTCTTTTGGGTGTCTC